TATATAACAATTGAGAGAGTGGGTAATGTTGCTAACAGATTATTTGGAACATACAAGACATTTTCTAGAGTAAGGAGATTGTAGAAAAGTTTTACATATTTCAATAGCTTGAGTTTTATGTCCACTAGTCAGGATGATATGCGGTAAATGTGAAGGTTTAGATAGATTAGTAAAATATAAGAATTATGATAAACATGATCGGGAGCACCTAAATCAAGGATCCAAATTAAAGGCTATAAGTGTTTCAAACACATGCTCTAAACACACTGACAGGCAATATATACTCCACCACAAACCTTGAGAAATATGTGAGTTTTTAATTTTTGGTAGCCCTCAAATTTGACATGGGAAAGAACAACTGAAAATGATTAAATATTGTCTAATTTAGTTCTGAAGGTAAGAATGAAAGTTGATACACTATTGGTTTTGAAATATATGGCAGACTTGTCCTTCAAGTTTGAGATTATCTTGACCCGAGAGGTGTTCGATAGTTAACAAGCTTGGGCCTACCTTGAATAGTTACACTAATAGTTCAACATTTCTATCAAAATTTTAAAATATAAATAAGGTAAGTGATGGATAATATTCTCATATACCCGAAGGTCCAAAGAAAATGGTCTAGTCTTGGAAGCCTAACAACTCCCACCAGCGAGGTCAAAGCACTTAGCCAAGCCAAGGTCAGTAATCCGGACCCATAACTTCACGAGGAATCTCATTCCACCCTGGGCCGAGCTCCGCCGATGAGGCTGAATGAACTAACTCCCACTCCCGGCTCTGGATGATCCCTCCTAGACGAGGACGAGCGGACTAGATCCACCTTGGATCGACTATACTTAGAAACTTTCGGATGTTTTAGTCACATTTTCTAGAGCTAGTCTCCCATCTACACTTGGTGGAACATGGGGGGAGGAGGATAATACTTGTTCGGGGCGGGTTAGGACCGAGTCCTAATTTTTGAAAACCCAAATTGGAAGGGGCCGGGTCCTAAAAAAGTTAGGAATTGTGCGAGTATTAAAATTTGAAAAACGAGTACCCATAGCAAACTGTTTTAAAATATTATTCTAATAAAAGCCTATTATATTTAATATAATATACTACAACACCTGACATATCTTCATATGCACGAGTCTATTTTTTTTTTTTTTGGAAAAAGGCGACTTATATTAATAAAGTAACATTTAACAAGGGATAAAAGAGATAAAGGTAACACTTCCAGCCACCGACCCTCGGACCAGCCTGAGAACCAATCACCCTTGACAGAGCAATGTGATTTTTTAATCCTCTAACGAGTCGAATTGAGCCTATCGTGGCCAGAGCAGAACCCCCATCACCCCCACCTAATGTAAGAGTCTTACAGAACAAAACAGAAACAAATAAAACAAAACAGTGCAAAGCAAAACAAAAGAGAAAAATGACTGTAAATCCGTGGAAAGTAAACTGGATCCTAAGAAGCCCAAACGGGCTCCAGCGACCTCCCATAGTAGCAAAGAGTGTCAGACATCTTGGCGGGTTTCGAAACCCAAACCCGCCTTCTCCCAGTTTTTTGGGTGATCCAGGGCCATCTGCTCCCCTTCATCCCCCTTGCCACCTGCCACTTCCCAAGTACGCCTGCGCTTTGCTTCCCCAGGAGCCCCTCTTCAAGTGCGTTGTGATCTGATTCCACCCATCCCTTGCTGCTCTCAACCAGAGAAAGTGCCCCCTCCTTCCTGCTTGGCCCCGCGCTCCCCTCACCTTTACGACCTTGACCTTCCGGGACTAACCATTTGTTCCCCCCAAAGGACTGAGAAGCGCCCCCTCCTCTTGCTCGCATATTAGGTCCATATTTCTTTGGAGCCTCCAGATTGGTATTCTCATAAGCCATAAGATAAAACCTGTCAGCATGCCTAATAATGCCACATGCAAAGCAGAAACTAGGCAATTTTTCATATCTAAAATCAACCAGTGTCCCTCTCCTTGTCCCTTACGGAGAGTCGTACCCACTTTCAAAGGCTTCCGATCCCCACATCTAGTCAAGCTCGAACCCGCATATACGGCCTCCATTTCTTGTCAAATTGACTTTTATCCAAATTAACAAAAGCGCCAAGAAAGTTCCCAATTTTCGGGCCGTTCCCAAATTCATAAAATCATATGGAACATCATGCACCTGGACCCAAAACTCAGCTTCATTCAAAGGAACTCTAAGAGGAACATCCCCTGGCTTAAGCTCCCTAAGAATTAATAAATTCTGTTCGAAAGTCCACGGACCACCTTCTATCACACGTTTCATATCAAGAATATGGTAAAAAGTGAACATATACCTGTTGTCGCTAATCTCTTTTATGGTAATACCTTTCACAGGCCTGCAAAGTTTACCCATGAGATCTCTAAAGACCGTAAATTTCACCAATCTGTCCGTGACCACAGTGCCCCCCCCCACTAAGAAGGATCCCCCATCAGACGCGGTCTCCTCCTCCTGAGAAAAATCTTTGTCAATAACAATCTCATCCTCCATATCTCCTATCACCATGTCCTTAGTCTTTTATGTGATAATCTCCATTCGCCCTCTTCAAAAGCCTGCTTGCACAACAAAAGCAAGAACAAATCCAAAAACGAAGATTGAAAAGCAAACCTTCGTACTCCTGCAACTTCAGGCACCAAACCACGAAACCAAAACGAGAGCAAAAAACAGAGCCAATCTTCTCTGCCTAAATTAAAATCCAAAACGCCCAGCCGAGATAAAAACTCGGAAACAAAGCGGAAGATGACCTACGCTCATGGCGGCGACAATCGACCGAACCCTAAGACCTAGGGAGTCGCCAGCTATTCCATATGCACGAGTCTATTAAAATTTAAAAAGAATTTCAAAGTTCATATAAATTTGTAAGTATGGTCGATCCAAGGTGGATCTAGTCCGTGGACTAGATCCATATGTTAATAAATCTCAAAATGTCTGTGGACTAGATCCACGTACATTGATGTTAACTAGTTTGAGAATGTTACTACGTAATAAATATTTTATTAGCATATCGGTATTTTTCAAACGGGACATGTAAGGTCTGGTTCCTTTTTTGAGAAGTGGTATACCCGGACTGAACCTATCCATTTTATGGAACACATGATTCTTAAAAATTTATCAATTACCCGAGCCATACCCACCCCTAGTACATGACACCATCACAACTACTGCTAGTATCATTCTGACAAGACTTACATACTGGTGACACGTCATTTTCTTATTAAGTTCGTCATCTTGACTTGTTTGAGTCTTAGAGCATCTCAAATGCTACAATGTGTACGGTCCACATGTGACATGAGAGAGAGCCACTCAAATATTAGCAAATAACGTATCTCTCTCCTTATTTGAATGATTTTATAAAATCTTAGTAAATTTTTCTCCACAATGTCAAGAAGACTGTCTAGATTTTGACATTGCGGTTGACACTGCAAAGCAAAAAATTACCAAAATAGTACAAAATCATTCAAATAAGGAGAAATATAATTTATTTGCTTATATTTATATGGCTATCTCTCATGCCACATGTGTCTGGGTACTGTTATTTTGCCACATTTGATACACACGTTCTTACTCATGTTTTACTGTCCAACCTAACTTAGTTTTCCTCTAACCCCGGATTCCGTAACTCATTAGTAGCACTAAATTAAAACATAATAGCATCTCTAATGTATTAATAACTTGTACAATGCATGTGTGATATGAGAAACATGATCACATAAAATGAAATTGAAGAATTTCTTCTCTTTCTTTTCATGATCTTCTATAACCTTAGTTTTTTTTTACACAAATATCAATCACAATGTCTATATCTAAACATTTCATCACATCTATCTAGATGTTTTCGTTAACATTGTGCTGAAAAGATACCATAAATTGATAACATTATTCAAATAAGGAAAAAGATATATAGCGTGGTATTTATTATTTTTATGTGTCTATCTCTTTCTGCACATTTTTTCATTGAAGATGTTCTAAGATAGAGGTAATTGCACTTAGTGGGATTAAAATATAGGAATATTCCCTAAGAGAATTTCATGTTTTACTTTCCTTAAATACGACTAAATATTACTACCTCCGTCCCTAAATGTTTTTCCTGGTTTGACTTCACAGATATTAAGGAAATGAATTTGGCTTTAAACTGTAGCGACATTGTATGACACTGTAGCGACACTGTTTGACACTGAAGCACCATTGTTTAACACTGTTTCGCACTATTTGACACTGTTTGATAGAGATTTGTTTGCCAAATAAGGAAGTCAAAAAGCCGGATAAATATTTTGGGACATCCATTTCGGGAAAGTAGGACAAACATTTAGGGACGGAGGGAGTACATTTCTACCCTTAATATAATTAGTTATCCCCCTAGTCCCCCTTACATAACCTAGGTTGTCTGGCAAGCATCACTCGGCTGCAGCAGGGCGACAAGTGACGACTTTCTGAATAATGGCAGCGGCGGTCATGCGCCCACCCTTATAAGGTTATTTTTGTCCAATTACAAATAATAAGTGCCATTGATGGAATTTTAAACATTAATTAACTCCTTTTTGGAAATTGAACATGTCTTGGTCCCATTTGTGGAGTTTTCCCGCTAAGATATGGAGATGAACTGAGGGATCGGAGAGAGCAGTTCTTAATTTGACAATTATAGGTTTTTTTTAGAAAAACTTCATAGAAATAATTATATAAATATGACCAAAACAGAGATGATTTACAAAAATATGACTAATTGCTAGAGTAGTAATGAAATCATAGTAATTCATGTTCTAGTTTTGAACTTAAGTTACCACAACACTACGTTGTAGTAATGAATAGTCATATTTATATAAATAAGTTTTATTTTAGTAATATTCTTGTAAAAAAACCCGGAAATATAAATTATTGATGATATAATGAGAGAGTTTTCCACCGTCTTAAGTGTTCCACCAAGCCTGACAAGCGCCTCATTCTCATCGGCCCACCTGGACCTGGAAAAGGTACTTAGTCACCCATCATCAAGGATGAGTACTGTTTATGCCATTTGGCCACCGGTGACATGCTTAGAGCTGTTGTTGCTGCCAAAACTCGTTTTGGAATCAAGGCCAAGGAAGCCATGGACAAGGGTGAACTTGTTTCTGATGACTTAGTTATTGGGATCATTGATGAAGCAATGAAGAAACCCTCTTGCCAAAAAGGGTTCATTCTTGATGGGTTTCCCAGGACAGTGGTTCAAGCAGAAAAGCTAGATGGAATGCTTCAGAAGCAGGGTGCCAAAGTGGACAAAGTATTGAATTTCACAATTGATGATGCTATTCTGGAAGATAGGATTACTGGTCGATGGATTCACCCTTCAAGTGGAAGAACTTACCACCCAAAGTTTGCGCCTTTTTGGAGTTGATGATGTCACTGGAGAACCTCTAATTCAATGCAAAGATGATACTGTTGCTGTTCTCAAGTCCAGGCTCGAGGCTTTTCACCGCCAAACAGATCCGGTTATAGATTATTATTCAAAGAAGGGTGTTGTTGCTAGCTTGCATGCTGAAAAACAACCAAAGGATGTTACAGCAGAAGTTCAGAAAGTTTTATCCTCCTAGAGAAGAAGCTCATAACAAAACTGGTCTTCTGAATTGAAATGTACTATTTGCTTGTTGTTTGTCTCTGACCGATGATCATTGGAAGGACAATGTCTGTCTTTTTTTAGTTCTTTTTGTTGTTCATTGTCAACTTCTGATGAGTTAGCAGAAGTGCACCAGTGTAGGAATTTTTGCTAATAAATTTATGAACACCTCTGAATATCTCACTATCACCAGATACAATGGTTATTTATCTAAAGGTTTTTGTCTCTAATATTACTAAACAATAAGCCATGAACAAAAAAGAGACCATTTATCTTAATTTCCATAAGTATGACTAATAAAAACACACTTCTCTAAATTGCCCTCTTGCTTGTTGAACACTCGGTCTGCATAGCTTCATGCCTTCACCGCAGACAGTGAGTAGTACTCTGTATTATAGATTTGTAGTGAGCCAAGATGCACATCGTAAATTCTTCAAGAATTGGCCATTGTATTTTCCAAAAATTATGCCCACTATAATCATTAATTACTACTGGTTAAAATTATTATATATTTACGTTTCCTTCTAAATGAACTTCCTTTACGGAAGGATGTTTTAATACTATTACATAATGTTTTTGCTTATAAAAGATACGAGTACTTCTATTTGTTTGTGTGTTTTGGAGACAAGTTAATCAAGTTTTAAATTGGTTACATTAATTTCCCACATGAAAGATGCAACCCGAAATGATTTTTTTCCAATACCCGACCCTACCCGACCCGTTCATGCATGCATAAAATGTTTACGTACCGCGGACTTATTTTGCGTACCGCGGGTTGGTTAATACTTAATTGCCAACCCGAACAAATCGGGTAGGCCCATAAAATATAGCAAACCTGACCCAACCCGCCCGATGTGCAGCCCTAACATTACCCACTAGAACTCCCTTCATGTCCCTATGATCTTCTAGCAAATGTGATCCTATTATGCCATGTTTGCTTGCATAAACCTCATCTAACAGCACCTTTAGGACCTTCATTCATTTTATTTCTCAATCGTGTAGCCTTCAGATGACCTTTAGCGCGAATTATTGACGGGTTATGCACAACTCGTGGTCCAGTGTAAGTAGGTCAATAAGTTATATCCATATGGGTTTAAATACTCTTTTATAAGTAGCCGCATACTCCGATACAACAACAACATCCAAGCCTTAGTCCCAAAAGATATTGGGGTCAGCTAACATGAATCGATAAATGATATCACCAAAAGGAAAAGAAAGAAAATAAAGATAAAAAAGATAATCTATTATAAAAATGATAATATAAAAGAGATGAATATACATATAGAAGATAAAATAAAAAGGGTAAAAAAATATTTATATATATAAGGATAAAAGGATAAAAATAAGGAAAAAAAAGAGGGGAAAAGAAGATACAAGATCACTCCTCCACACGGATACCCGCCTTCCACTTTGCTCTCTCCAAAGCCATACTCTCATCCAATCCAAGAAGAAGCATATCACTTCCGATTCCCCTAACCCACGTCTATTTGGGCCTTCCTCTCCCTCTCTTCATTGTCTCTTCTCCACACATCTCAACTCGTCTGACAGGTGCATCACTCGGTCTTGTATGCACATGACCAAACTACCGTAGGCACGGCTCCCGCATCTTATCCTCAATAGGTGCTACTCCCACCCTTTGTCTGATTGTCTCGTTCCTCACGTGGTCCTTTCTAGTATGCCCACACATCCAACATAACATGTGTATCTCTGCCACACTCATTTTTGAATGTGACATTGTTTCACCGCCCAACACTCCGTGCCATACAGTAATGCAGACATAATTGTTGTGACCACTGCTTCTACCTCCAACACTCCTTACCATCTAGAGTAATTCCGCTATGACCACTGCTTCTACCTCCACCAAACTTGCACTCCATGTACTCTGTCGTGCTCCGACTTAGTCTGAAACCCTTGTTCTCCAATGTTTGCCGCCATACTTCCAACTTTTCTTTAACCTCTGATTGCATCTCACAATCAATACAATATCGTTGGCAAACATCATGCACCACGGTATATCATCTTGAATTGACTTTGTAAGTTCATCCATGACTATGACAAATAAGAAAAGGCTCAAAGCCGATCCTTGGTGCACTCCGATAGTAAAAGAGAACTCCGCAATCCTCCCTACACTAGTACGGACACTCGTATGTACAATCCTCATACATATCCATGATGATGCTGATATACTTGCGTGATATGCCTTTTCTAGTTAAGGCCCACAAAAGAACTTCTCGAGGTACCATATCATATGCCTTTTCTAAGTCAATGAACACCAAATGCAAATCCTTGTGAGCATCTCTATACTTCTCCATAAGTTGCCGAAGAAGATGAATGGCCTTAGTTGTTGAGAGACCAGGCAAAATACCAAATTGATTCTCTGAAATCTTCACCGTTCTTCGAAGTCTTTGTTCAATCACTGCCTCCCAATGTTTCATGGTATGACTCATAAGCTTAATCCCTTGATAGTTGGCACATTCTTGTACATCACCTTTATTCTTAAATAAGGGAATAAGAGTACTTTTTCTCCAACTCGTTGGCATCTTTTTGTTTCTCCAAATCTTGTTGAAGAAATGTGTTAACCTCTCGATGCATCTCTCTCCCAAACTTCTCCAAGCCTCGATTGGTATGTCATCTGGACCCACTGCTTTCTTCTGCCCCATCTTCCTCAGAGCCTCTTTAACTTCTGTTGTTTGGATCCCTCTCACAAAATCACGATTTACCATACAATCTGGTATGGTCAAATCACCGATATCTTGCACTTTGTTCCCGTCAAACAATGTATCAAAGTATGACCTCCACCTCTCTTTTATCTCTCCGTCCTCCATTAATATCCTCTGATCGGCATCCTTCACACACTTAACTTTTCCGATATCTTGAGTCCTGCGATCACGAAGACGAGCAAGTCTATAGATATCTTGTTCTTCTTCCTTAAAGTCCAATTTTTCATACAACTCCTTGTTGAGAAAAAAATATCAACAAAAAGTATAATAGGACAGACTACATTGTTTGCATACCATTAAGATATGTGAGAAAGGAATCTTATAAATATTCAACTTCTAACATGTGTGATGGCGACGGTGCAAATTCAACGTTTGTTTTTGTACCACCCTTCCCCACAGTTCGTCCACCACGACCCTTCATCATTTGGTATAAACCACGACCTATGTCAAATGTTGTGAGCTTGTGATGCTTTGCCTTTTCCATATTTTTTCTAATCAGTTCAGTCACTTGCTGACAGTTGTGATGTCCTTCTGCTAACCTTCTCTTACTAGTTTCTCTTCTTTCCACAAAATAGGCACTTTTTATAACTCTTCTTTTCAGCCATGTTCGTTGTTGTGGTGCCATACCTGTACCCCCCATCATGGTATAAAGACCACTTCTCCAAACCATTGTTCCCTAAATATGTTCGTGTTTGTGCCTGCATTTTGCCTATCCTGTTAAATCCACCATCAAATTTCTTCTTTTGAAGTTGACTTGTTGTCCAAACGAACAGATACTTTAAGTGAATGTCCTTAAATTGAGTATGCGGATTAGAAGCGACATACCGTATGCAAAGCTTATGTCGTACATCTGGCCCCTCCCATCTACTACCTACCTCATTAATTAAGTACCAATAAAATTGCAGCATGTCGATCTGAAATAACACACAATTCCCTGTGTGTGATAAAATGATGTATGCACACCATAAACCACAATCAACTCTCTCCATTCTCTGCTTCATAAATAGCAAACGCCAAAGGGAACAATCGACTATTAGCATCACTACCCATTGCCACAACCAACGTACCTTTATACTTCCCATATAAGTGTGTGTTCCATCAATTGTCAGTAAGGGGTGACAATGTTTGCAGCCCTTGATGGATGGCTTAAACGCCCAAAAAACTCTGTGAAACTGCGGGCACACATTCATTGGTACTTAAAAGACGGAAAAAATTAGGGGGGCGAGTTTAAAATGGAATGTAATATGATACAATAAATATACTAATAACTCGTTGGTACCTGACAAAGGTGGATACCAGTGCACGACCATCCTGGGATATGAATGTTGTAATGCCAACATGAAATGAGGCAAGTCAAAATTCAACGCCTCCCAATATCTAAATATTTCACCAATAGGTTTTTTGCTTAGCCAACCAACTTCGCTCGATGAAGGTACATACTACACACCCATACTTTTCCTTCATAAGCTCACAAATAGTGCGGACTTTTAGTGATGGATCAGTACAAAGAAGATCAATAATTTCACGGGCTATAAACTAAGATGTGATATTATCATGATCATTGTTATCGACATTACCTAAACAAGTAGGTATATGAGGGCTTGCATAACGAACAACTTTAAACATATCTAGCCTCACATGTAGCGCGGATCCGCCAAGTGCAACAACATTCTTTTTTCCTCTTACACGCTGACAACTATTTGTGTTTGTCAGACTCTACAACTGAGAGAAACTGGTTCCCCTTTACAAATTACACTTTAACAATGTTAATTAGTTGTTTCTTATCATCAAACTCTTGCCAAACCTCGAATTCACCATCTGTAGAGAAGCGACTGGCAGTTGTACAACCCCTCATTGATTCATCAAATCCCGCAGGGAGCTCATAAACATTAGTGTAGTGGCTGGATGGAGCATTGCCACATACGACATCACCACCATTTTCATCTGAATCTGTTAGTGTGTCATGATTCAAATTTTCATCTGCATTGTCGTAAGTGCATTGTGAATCCAAAAACATTGCAACATTGTTCACGCATCTTCCATTCTCATGTATAACCATATTCATAACAACTGGAACACGTGTGAATGGGCAAGATAATGACGGGTTATCAGGTTCTATGGGCAACACAGACATCTCTTCAACATATATCTCCATGGTAGGCATATCAAGATTCGTGATTAAAGTCCATATTCCTGTAATGGCTTCGTCGTCAACAAGAGGCATCAACATGTATGATCCACCATGAATGAGAAATTTAACTTTCAAATC